GCCTCATACCACACACAAAAGTTAACTCAAAATGGAATAGAGATGTGGATGTAAGATTTGAAACCATAAAAAATACACAGAAGAAAACATAAGCAAAACACTCTACTACATCTACTTCAGGGATGTATTGGGGAATTGACTCCAATGGCAAGGTAAACAGAAGCAAAAATAAACAAATGGGATGACACCCAACTGAAAAGTTTTTGCACAGTGAAATAAACTATCATTAAAACAAAAAGATGCCCCACTGAGTAGAAGAAAATATTTGTATATCATGTATCTGACAGGGACTAATATCAAAGATCTACAAAATTCAACAACAAAAATTATCCAATAAAATCGACACTTCTCCAAAGAAAACATATAGATGACCAGCAGGAACATGAAAAAATGTTTGTGATCACTTTTCATCATATGTGAATCAAAACCACAGTGTGATACCACCTTACACTGTGAGAATGACCGATATTGAAAAGACCAGAACAAGTGTTGGGGAGGATGGTGGGATGCAGACAGGGCTAGCCCTTATAGAAAACAGTATGGAGTTTGCTCAAAATATTAAAAACAGGGCCTCCCTAGTGGCGCAGCGGTTGAGCACTGGGTTGCGAAGCTGCCCCCGGCCTCTGCGGTACCAGTTCGATCCCCGGCTGCTCCCCGGCCACCGGAGGAGGGTCCCTCATGGCGCGCAGACCTCTCCTGCAGCCCGCTGCTCCCCTCAGCAGTGTACTTCAGTCCTTCTGCCTGCTCTGCTCCCCGCTCTGGCTCTGGTGAATTCTCTCACCCTCCCGCGCTTCTGACTGTACCCAGTGCATATATAAACAAAACAAACAAACAAACAAATAAATAAAAAAACATGCCTCTATTAAAAAAATAAATAAAAATAAAAAATATTAAAAACAGATCTGATGGTTGATCCAGCATTCCTAGGTATCTATCTGAAGTTACTTAGGTATGCACTAGAAGAATTACAAAAAGACTAGTTCAAAGGGATATCTGCACTCCTATGTTCACTACAGCACTATTTGCATTGGTTATAGAAATAACCTCAGTGCCCAAGGATAGATGAGTGGGTAAAGAAGTTGTGGCATACATGTACTATGAATATTACTCAGTTTAAAAGCAGATGAAAATTGCCAAAACAACATGAATAGAACTGCAGGGGATTATGCTAAGGAACTAAGAAGAAGAAAGACAAATACTGGATGATTTGATTCATATATGAAATACAGAGAAATACACGAAAGGAACAGATAAAACTAAACCAATACAAACTCTAGAAATATGACTGCAGAATAGAGGCTAAAGAGGGGATGAGTGGGAAGGAGGCCCAGTGGTCTATGGTGGAGGATTCTGGTATACATTTGTGGTAGGCATGGTGTGGAAACATATAGCTTATGAGGCATGAACCTATATCCCTAAATTATAAACAGTGTTGTAAATCAATGTTCCCTCAAAAAGTAAAAAATACATTAAAATATATATATATTAAAGTAACTCTGTAATTATCAATTTAATTTTAGACCCAATTTTTTTTTTACCAGACACTATAAAAATTCTGCTACAGTACATGATCTTTGCTTTATTTCCCTCATTCTCTTTTCCTAGTTTGAACTACACTTTTTTTTCTTTTTAAAATGTCTGCTTAAAAGACTATACACAAATATACACAGATCATAGCTAAACCAGATGCAGAGAGACTGTCAGTAATGACAGATGCTAGAGATTCTTTTCAAATATTCAGGACCAGGTGGCTGAGTAGGCCTAACAAAAGAACACATGATTATGAGGGATACAAAGATGGAGTTAGAAGAACTAGTTCTCATTTGGATAAAATTAAGTTATTTAATGAAAGCATGTAAGAAGGATTTGAAATCAAAGTCAAAGTGAATTAAGTTAAATAATTTATTCTCTTCTATACATAAGGAAAATTTATTGCAATTTGTAAAATTTTTTTCAAAATTAATACTTAGGCCAAATGCTAGTATTTATAATATCACCTAAAGGGAAAAAAATCCCTTAATTTTGCTTTAGTGACAGCATAATATTAAGTGTTTCCAACTCCTACACACTGGTAATAATTAAAATAATCAACTTTTCTTCATTTGAGTTAAAGTAGAAATAGAATCATAAAATAGATCGTACTTCTTGTACTGAAAGATCTCATAGCTGAAATTCAGTTTGGTGCCTTACAGCTGGATGCAGTAAATGAACTGTCCATGTAGTTTGACTACACCCAGAAGCTAATGACCTCAGCATTTAAGATGTTGGTGAAACACAAATGAAGTGAGTCATCAGAGATATGCTGCAATATGTGTTTGAGATATATGCTCACACATGTAGATAATATTTTGTTTTCAAGCAGATGGATATTGCTGTTGCCAAAGTGGTCACTATTTTAGAAAGTCATCAAATGAAGACAAGATAACTACTTTTGTTAGCCAAGGTAGCACTGTTTTGACTTAAATTTATTTCATAAAAATTCATTTTTTAAGTATACAATAGAAGGTACTGAGAAAATAGTCTCTTAAAAATATTTTAGAAATGTTTATAGACTCAAATTATTTAGACTTGCTCTAGAACTTTGTTAGTGGGTATGGTGAGGCATCTTCATATCAAAGTGTGGAAAATTGTTCCAAAAATCTATATGGTATTGTAATCCAATGATAATTCCAAGAACTTTTTATTATAGTTTTGATTTGCATTTTCCTGATGATAAGTGACAATGAATATTCTTTCCTTTGATGTCTTCTTCTGCTATCTCATACTTTTGTATCTTCATTGAATGAAAAAAAAACCAATATTTTGTTTTCCACTGAGATAATATTGGTTCACAACACTGTCTATGATTCAGAGGTATAGGTTTACGCCTCTTTAGGTATATTTTCCACACCACACCCACCACAAGGCACCTTCACTCCTCCACACTTTTCCCCTGTGTCTGTTCGCCATCTGCATGTCTTAATTGGAGAAGTGTCTATTTTGTTGTCCTGCCCATTTTTTGATTAGGTTATTTGCTTTCTTTTTGCTAAGCTGTATGAGTTCTTTGTAGAGTTTATGTAGATTTTGGTAATCAATCCTTTGTAGAATGTATGATGTACAAATACTTTCTCCCTCTCAGTAGATATCTTTTATTTTAATGATAGTTTATTTTAATGATATTTATTTCACTGTACAGAAGCTTTTAGTTTGATATAATGCCATTTGTTATTTTGCTTTTGTTTACCTGCTTTGGAGTCAAGTCCCCAAAACATCCTTGAAGCCAATGTTGTGGAGTGTTTGTCTATGTTTTCTTCTATGTACTTTATGACTTTAGGTCTTACATTCATATCTTAATACATTTTGAGTTTATTTTGTGTATGGTGTGAAACAGTGGTGTAGTTTAATTTTTCTGCATTTGGTTGTCCACTTTTCCCAGTGTCATTTATTGAAGGGACTTTCCTTTCCCAATGTATACTCTTGGCTCTTTTGTCAAAGATTACTTCTGTATAAGCATGGGTTTATTTCTGGGTGTTTATTTGTATTCCAGTGGTCTACTTCTCTGTTTTATTCAATACCATACTATTTTTATTACTATAGCTTTGTGGTTATAGTCTGAAGTCTAGTAGTGTAATGCTTCTGTTCTTTTTGGTTTGGATTGCTTTGGCAAGATATCACCCACCTCACACCTGTGAGAATGGCCCATAACAAAAATATCAGAAACAACAATATTGATGAGGAGAAAAAGAAACAGAAAGACAGAAAAGAACAGAAGAATTACACTACTAGACTTCAGACTATACCACAAGTTGACTCATAGAACAGAATATTCTGGGAAGTTTTAACAATTTTTTAGTAATATATTCTTACTGCAATAATATAATACAATAATATAATACTGCAACATAATTTCATTTTATTTTAAGATTTATTTATTTATGCATACAAGAACTAGGGTGTAAGCCAGAAGTCCGGGGGGTGAGAGGATCACCAGAGACAGAGTGGGGACAGAACAGGCAGATCTACTGAAATACACTGCTGAGGGAGCAGAGGGGAAGCAGGAGAGGTCTTCTGTGCCTTGTGGGAAGCTCCCTGGCCAGTTGGAGACCGAATCCTGCTGCAGTGGTTGCGATAGCTTGATAGTGCTGTCTTTAACCCCAGAGCCACCAGGGACACCCAACATAATTTTAAAGTTTACATGCTTTTAAGACTTAAAGCAAAAAATGTGCTGATCCTTACCTATTCTACCTATTACCAGTTCCCCCTCCCCAGAGAGCTATGTTCATTTTTTTCTATTTCTTCTGGAATTTAGTCTTCTATTTCTTCTGGAATTTAGTCTGTATTTCTGAAACAATACAGTCCAATTTTTGTGTCTTAAACAAGAAAGACTTACTATCTTATGGCTCTGTAGGATGAAAGTCTCACATGGCCACACTGGGTCAAGGTGTCAGCTCTGTTCTTTCCTGGATGCCCTGGACAGATTTCTTTACCTTCTTTAACTTCT